GCTATTAATTTTATTATCACCATAGAAATGTTTACTGACACTTATATATATTGTAGCCATAGTAGAAATTCTTCATTCGTTCTTTCGTTATTTAACTTTTATTTATAGAAATTATTCGTCATTTAACTTTCATTATGTAATCTTCATTAAATTATTAGTAATTGTATATTTTGTGATATTGATAATATTTTTATATAAACAACTAAAATTAATTACGGAGTTATTATTTATTTATAGTATTGTGATATAAATATAAATGATCATAATCACTATATGCCTCTGTATACTTATAAACCTTCACGAGAGATGGCAGCAGTATACTTTTCCTTGGAAAGAAAGTAATCTGCGAGAAGTTTAGTTACATTATGCATGTATAACGAGAAGATGCATTACTATGCATTAAAGATAAGCACTGCCATGCATAAAGGACTTTAGTAGCAATTGGTTCTACATCTTCATCGTTATATGATGATAATGTTCCTAATCTCTATAAATTAATGAAATTTCTGTTTCCAAAAAAAAAAAAGAAATTAATTAACAATTAAGATTCTTATCCTGTGTTTTATATGCACCAGCGCGAACAGATTTTATAATATTTATAACATGAATTATAATGTAATTTGCAGAGAAATCTTGGAACTTTCAAACATTCTCACTTACTAAAACATAATCAGTTCCTGCCTGCAGTTCGGTTGTAATAGTGTTATTATTAGTAGTACTTTATTTATCTTCCAGCAAGAAATTTCAAATTTTTAATGATTTTACAATAGAATTAATGATTTTGATGGTTGACCAATTCTTCAGAAACATTTCGCTGTTCACAAAACATGAATTTGTGAAACGCATATTCGCACTTGGATGTGATTCTGTGTTCGAGTTTCGAATTCTGGAATTCGAAATCTAGAAAAGGTTGAAAAGAAATATTTGATGATCTATTCAACGAACTTACTACGAAACATTAAACTGCTTGTACATTTTGTACGTGGTTAAATTAATTCGAATGTAGCAGATTATACCCTAATCATTCCTCCGTGTGTAACAAGACTGACGGACTGCAATTTACATCGAGCAAATAACAGATAATATAACACTCTATCATCCGGGGGAAACAGTATTGATGATTATGTAACAGATGATACTAATCATTCGCTAATAGAAATGGAAGTATACAAGATAGTTGTAATATTTCGTTTTGAGTTTATTTATCTTCAAACGAAATTTATCGTACGAGGATCAAAATATAAATAATAAACGTACCTGATATTTGAACGTGTTTAATCAAAGATGACTATACCTTGACGAGTCACGATTCGTTGATCCGATAAGAGAGATATACTTCCTAAAGTTTCGTCTTAACCTGTGTCCAAAACAAGTGTGCACCTCTCGAAGCCAACTTATTTTTTACGCACAGACATCACCATGCAGGTGGTCGGAGAACTTAAATTACAGTAATAACTCATTGTTATTGCAACCGTGACAACGCACTTGCACGCGTGGTTATGCTATCACGTACTATACCCGCTGAAAGATCAATTTTACTTGCTTTCGCACCAGCCCATTTATGCCAGTCCCTCTGAATTTGTTCGCGAGGGTCGATTTATTGGCACAGAGCACAATATAAGGGTTCGCGTAATATTAATGGAAAAAGTTTTCTGGCGCAATATGGCAACAAAAACGACACTCTCGCGATTCAGTTTCCGTGCAGCCCTTTAATGGACCTTAAAATGAAGTTCTATACATCAGGAACAGAGGTTTCCCAACTCTCTCCTACGTAATTACAATAAATTCCTGCGAGGAGACTCGTTAACCAAGTTTCTATGCGCTGTATATTACTTTGTGCTCGCCGTGTAATAATAATTCCATTGTACATTTTTGGCGTATAAATCCTTCTCTTGGTAAGGAGCATCGATCGTCCGTTGAACGGGTTCGAATTTTCATTATTTGTTTCCCCGCATATTTCTGTACGTGGCTACGTCCTATATTTTCATCAGCGTGCAAGTTTTCTCCCTGTATTTTTTTCATATTTCACGAAACTGTATCAATATTCAAGAAATATAGGCACACAAGGACACGAACGAGAGTCATTCTAAAGTTTCATTTACTTCAAACGTACTTCCCCATGGATCTTCAATTCGAACGACGCGAAAAATTTCATCGCGTTAATAAGAAGATTAACGCATTTTAATAACCATATTTTTCATTACGACGTACGTGCGCCACTTTTATTCCCATATTTATTTCATTTAAATTCAAATATATATTTTCTCTCTCTCTCTCTCTCTGTTTCCCCTTCGCGTGTGTTCCAAAACTCATTTTGAAACTCATACGTTCGTTAAAACCAGTTGAACTGCCTGTTTTAAATGAAAATAGAGAAAAGTCATTGGGAAGCGGAAATTATCACTGGAAATTCAATATACAAGGTGTATATAATACTCGAATGTTTCGATTTTAAGCATTCTTATATATATATATATATTTTTTTCCATTCACGTTTTACCGATATTTCACCGATACTTCGATAGGAAATTGGTGCAAATTGTCCCGAGAAATTAGGGGTAGTTTAACGGCGAAACGCGAGTATTTCATCCAGTCTCCCCCTTCAATTTCACGCGCGAAACTAAATGATTTTTCTTATTTAGCAATTGAGAAATCCGCGAAGCGGTGCCTACGTGGCGCTGTGGCAAAGTGACCTTCCAAGTTAAGAGGGAAGGCTTGGTTGGCTGGCGTTTATAATGAACTCTTGAGGATCGGCTTGACTGCTATTTACATATACCTGCCTCTGCGCACGTGTGCGCATAGAAACCCTGCATTTCCGTTTTTAGAATATACGTCTGACGTTTGCACGAGTATCTGCGTAACATTCTAAATGCGTAGGATAATTATGTACCTCAACACCAATCGTTCTCCATCTTGTCAGATCCAGTCCATTTTATTGATTCGAGGCGAGTGGGGAAATTTTCACGACGACACTGACGCGAGCTATTTAGACAGTTCAATCACGAATTGAACTTTCAATTAAACAGGCGGTAACAATCCCTCGCGGTAACAATGGCCCTCTATCGGTAGAATATTTAAAGAGACGTTTGTTCTGGCGCAGAACAGAACTCTCCGAGGCGATCAGCCAGGTCAATTCCTAAGAAGCCTCGTCCCTGCCGAGAATTGCCAGATGTCTTGTCATATTCTCATCTGAGGACATTTTCTCTGGCCTTGGAGGGAGAGACAAGATGTAAAAAGGCTCGGTAGGGCAGAAACAAAGCCCAGCCTAGGAAAAGGGATACTTGGTTGTGGCCATAAAATCGTAGAGTCACATTCAGCGGTCAGTATCCCCATACGCACAGGTTTTTTTAAAACTTTTCCTGCGAACTCCACTATAGGTACACATCAGACAAACCACAAATACAGTAGCATCATCTATCCTAAAATTTTCTTTTTAAATGCAGGTTAAAGGGCGGAACCAGCCCCAGGCACTGCAGCTACCACAGGCTCAAACAGGGGAAAAAAAAAAATGAAAAAAAAAAAATAATCAGCGGTCAG